TGCCCATTTAATTGCCAAGCCCGAGTTAAACCATGACACAGCCATTACTTGGTTTTCCCAAAGTTTTTACAATTTCTTCCAAGTTTCTTTGTTTTTCTCAAGAATACTATTTCTCTCTTCATCTCCTCACTACAAAATGTCTATTTCTGCTTTGATTATGATTTTCCCATTGCTTCCTCTGAATCCTGCCAGTCTCTCTTATTTATGAATGTTGTAGTCCAGAACACAATATTGAGGGCTTGAGATTCCTCTTTCTGGGACTTATTACATCCATTGTTGCCTTTGAGAACTGGGGATACTCAGAACACACATTCAGAAAGAAACTACAATTATTGCACAGGAGACATAATAGATTTAGGAGGCATAAGAATCATATTGCCTAATCATTAGACACCTCCACCAAAGCTGAATCAAGAATACTGAACTGTGACTCTTCTTTCCCATTTCACCTCTGCCAAGAGCTGAACAACTGGAGGGAAGCAAAAAAACCCCAAACATAGAGAGTGGCAGACCTTCAATCCTACCTTTCCAATCCCCTCAGAACTTCAGGAAGCATTTTTAACCACTACAACCCAAAGCCATTTCTTGTGAGTGCTACGGTGACTGTTCTGTCACACAGTTCTATCATTCATCCTTTTTGTTTCCCTTCCAGTGTGATCAACTAGTCCCACAGAGCAGAACTGTGAAAGCAGGTGCATCTTCAGTCAGCCTCACCTCCACCCTAATGGGTATCACACATTCCCAAGGGGTGACAACTGTTCAAGCTGAGAACAATTCCAACCAAAGCCACTAATTAACATAGCAGATCAAAGGCACAGATTGTATTGGTGGGTTGATGGTAGTTTAGGGCTTTTTTTGTCTGTTAGATTTTAATTTTTTAAAAACTTTTATTCTGGCTGTCTACCTACAGGTATGTGTGCCTTAGCCTCTTTATCAGAGGTAATTAGTGGCACCTCTATGTAGCCCTGATACCTAATTTCTGGGGAGGGTAAAAAATTTGGATGTTTACAGTCAGTTTTCATTGTACTAGCTCAGGGCTATTCCCCCACTGATGTGGAAGGTCATGACTTATGTGTTAAATGGAGAATTTGGCACCAAACATTTTATGACTGAGGTATCCAAAGATATCAGGCCCTGCAGGCATTGGCTAAAAGATACTTAAGTCTTTTACTTGCTCTAGTACTAAAAGGCCATCTTCTGGGGCCTGATGCTAAGACAGAGGGCATCTATTCTTACCTGAGAGAAGTGGCATTCAGTTTTCATTAGTGCTTGTGTAGATAATCTACCATGCTAATTCTGACTGTGCTGTTGTATAGAAATTGTGCTGATAATAATTGTGCTGGTAAGGCTGCTCTTCCCTTTCTGGCTGGCAGAAAGTTACTCCTTCATATTCACCTGCCTCCTTGATATCCAGAACTCAGGAAGTAGGTTGAGTTTACTATTTAGGGCCTCTTGGTCAAACCAAGCTACAGTGTGCAGAGAAACTTGTTCTCTGAGATACCAGAAAACAAAGGAATGAATGAACGAACAGGTAAGTCTGTATTCTTCATTGCTTGTGAGTGATTTTTCCAGTTTGGTGTAAAAACAATTAGAGTGTATAAATAATTTCAAGCTAAATGCCTTGAAATGTACACATACATATTTATGTGTGCACATAATTTTTTTTTGTGAAATAATGTTGGATTCCTGTTGAATTAATTCTTGTTAATTAATTCTGGGTTATGCTAAATGGTTTGGCTTTTCTTTACAACCACAGAAAGTTTTTAAATTTAAATGTAGCTATAATAAGTGTATTAAATATATTAAGAAGCATATCAACTAATGCATCTCAGTTCTTTAAATTTCTAAATGGAGAGTTTTCCAGTATGGAGTTTTTATTTATCTGGATCTATTCAGCCTAAACCTGCATTTTCTTATGAAGCTTATGCAAAAAACCCCACCAAAATAACTCTTTTATTTGTTCTATACTTAAACCCCCCCCTTTCTATCAGGCCATTCCTTATGTTCAATTTGTGGCTGTTCAGCACTTTGCTGTAAAGCTTCTTCCTGTTTTTGTATTTCTGTGGTTGGTTGGGGTATTTTTTTGTTTCGTTTGTTGTTTGTTGTTTTTTTTTTCCACTGATCTTCCTTATATTCCACTTTCTTCATCCTTTCCACTGCTGTATCACTAATGGCACTCTATCTTGAGAAGGAATACAGGCCCATCCATCATACTGTGGGAGACAGACTGCACATAAGTGGCCATATTCTTCTGTCACTTGAAGCTACATTATTAGTTTCTCCTGCTGCTATTCACATATCTAGCAAAGAGCTCAATGGGTTGGAGAACAGTAAACCAGTAATCTGTAGGGCAGAGACTTTTGGTTTGTACAAAACAGATGTAAAGGAGAATTTTTCTGATAATGAAGGCAAAAAAAAAGTAAGGGCAGGATTTAGTTGCTGTGTGTTGATCTGATGCCTTTATAGTAACCTCTAAACTTCCTCTTTCTTTTCATTATTGCTATTCCACAATGCTAAAGATACCTAAATCTATAACCAAAATTTGAAAGGATAAAAAGGAAATCATCAGCTTTTGGGTCCTATGAATAAGCTTCTTTCCCCTGTTAGAAAGTTGCCATAAATAATGCAAAACTAAATAGATAGTTTATTTACAATCATGAGGAATGTTTCCTTTGTTCATAAATATTTTAATAATTCAAAAGCTCTGTCCTGGTAGATCACTAAGCTCTTAATTGAACAAAAGAATATAATGAGCTGGTCATCCTCATGATATGCAGATTATGTTCTGGGCACGCAGCAAAACAGAACCAAAAGAGAGGTAGAATTCTAAATAAATATTGATTTGTGTAACATTGCATTCCTCTATATTTTATTTCTATTTTGATAGGCTTTTGTCTAGATCTTCAACAAATGTTGTCAGCTGCACATGGGAAACAGCACAACAGTGTAAAGGAAACTACTACAGGAGAGTCATCCATGTAATTATAAAAATATTTTCCTTATTTACAAGTTGGTCATAACAAATACATTGCACAGTGTTTCATGGTCTTTCATTTGACAGAAGTTAATAGAAATGCAACAAGCAAATGTATTCCCAGTGATGCTATGTAGCTTGTACCCCATAGAACTGTTAAACAACATTATAGGTGATCTCTGACAATGCAAATACTTGCATTTAAGTATCATGTGATGTATATTTCAGTCTCTACTGATTCAGTTGAAGTGTGTTTTCTATATGCAACAGATTTCAAAGAGTACAAAAAGGACATATTATCAGATAAGTATTTTCAAAACTTTAAAATAAATGCAAGGAAGATTAGAATTAAAAGATCCCTCAGACCTCCTCACCAGGGTATTAGGGGCTCAGTGACCAGCTTAATACAAGAGTTTCTTGTTTACTCCCTTTCCTTCAAAGTATCAAGTCACTTGTGAAGATAATGAGCCAAGAAATAGAAGATGAAAGAGTCTGTGTTCTTGAAATTTCATACAGTAAATTTAGCTAATGAAATAGTTGGAAAAGGATACAAGAAAGATTGATCCTCAGCTGCAGTCCTCCTGTGGAACTGAGGTAATTTTAAAATACTTGCTACAGAAAGAGGAAATGAAGCTCGTATCTTGAAATGTAGGGGTCAGGGGCCTTTTCTGTTGCAGGCTCGTAGTTTAATCTCCATAGAGTTTTTTGCATGTGGTATGCCATGATAAACAAACATTCTTCAGAATATGCAATCTTAAACCAACATTTTGGGTATTACACTGTTAGAGTATGTGATGTGCATAGTATGAGTCTGAGTCAAAACAGGGTGGCATTTAGATATGAAATAACTGAGCTGTTGATTTATATCTTCCCTTTTAACAGTGTTACCCTCCCTATATGTGTTTCATAGTAACAGAAATGGAAGTCACACACTTTTCCCAAAGTGAAACAATAGTAACAGAAAATGACAAGTTAAATCGTTATGCGTGTGAGTATATCCCTTTGAACTAGGGAGTAGTTCTTATCAGTGGACAATGCAGAAAGTTCTATGCCAAAGAGATAACACAGAATTGCAAAACTTAATAGCAGAAGATTAGAACTATGCAGGCAAACTGAAATACAGTACAATGACAGCATTCAGAGAAGACCTGAGAGAGGCATTCTGCATAGTCTGTTTTTCAATGGCACAGACAGATCCCCAAAGAAAAATCTCAATATCATTTAAACTTTATTAGACAACATGGCTAGATCCGTGAGACTCCTTAGTCTAACACCCTTGAAAGCTATACAGAACAAGCAAGGAAAATAAACAAACTAAATAATCTGTTGGCATTTCATTCTTTTGAAACAGTAAACTCCCTTACTCCCCAAGTGTTATACAGTGGCTGTCTGCCAACAGAGGAGCATAACGTGCACATCCTGATGATAACCAGCCCATGACAGTCGCTCCCTTAACAAGTCAGCCTCTAGCTACTTCATGAGAGATGCTGTTACATTAGTATTTTACTATACAGTTATGGAGCTGGTGACATTTCATTCAGCATGTTTCTCAGCTTTGTCAGCACTTGAGATCAAGTGCCTGATCCTAAATATGCAACTAGCCCCATGTTAAGCTGGCACTTGAATTTATACTCACCATAAAGCATAGCTCCTCCAGTTTCATGCAGAAAGCGAAATCGATGAGTTTTAAACAACCAAATTGTTAATATTGTAAGAATGAGCAGAAAGTTGAAGACTAGCAGCTCCACAGCTCCCTGATGATAAAAATGATCTTCATCTTTCACTGATACATATTTCTTCATCTTCTCCATTTCATTCCCTTTATGGAAAATATGGGCAAAATAAAGGAAAAAAACAATCACAGGAAGGAAATAATTATCACCTTTGGTACAAAAAAAGTCCAGATACTACAGAAATTCACAGCATGCACATCTGTTTCATTTGCAGCCTCAGGGTAAAGTGCCTCAGCTCAGACTTCAGCTGGATTCTAGTTACAGCTTCCTGTTTCTCTCTTAAAGCCACCCTGTCTCATTTCTAGTGGTACAGTTGCATCACTGGTCTGTGTTTGCTCCAGTTGTAGATGCAAAAATCACCTCCAAGGTTCAGGTTCTGTCAGTTTCTAAAATTTTGTTATTAAACTTACTCTGTGTTGACTATGTTTGTTCCTGTAGTTTCCATCATAATCTCTATCCTAAAAATCATATTTTGTCTTGGCATTTTAAGATGGAAAAACTGTCATTAACAGGGTGGCATTGCAACCTTCATTACATTTGGGAAGTTTAAAAATCTTTTCTCTTACCCTCTTTTAAGTGTAAGTGATGTAGAATAAAAATGAAACTTTACTGTGGTGCAAAGGCAGAAGAAGAAAATGAAACAATGAATAAGCATTTCAAGATCTCAGCCTTGAATTTGTATTGATCTTGCAGGAAGACTGAGAGATCTGTCTAAAAGTAAAGGTCCAATTACCTAGAGTTAAAAACACCAAAGAAACCCTATCAAACTGAATAAAACACAGTGGAATTTGATTTTAATATTTTTTGCTCTTTACGGAAAATTGATTTATTAATGTAAATTTCATTTCTATTTCTCAGGCCAGAAAAACAGTAGAAATTATCTTCCTGTTTACAGCTAATACTAATGGAAGCTTTTCTGTCTGAGCCCAAGGCTGCAATACATGTATTAGAGTGGAATGTTCAAAAGAGATTTAATTTAATGTATATGAAAAAGTGCTACAAAAGAAGAGGTAGCATGGTTAGTGCTTTTTTTTCTACAAATCAGAGGTTACTTGTTTTTAGCTAACTGCTGCCATTCATCTACATCTGTAGAACTTTGTTGGCTTAGCCTGATTCCTTGTAGATAGGACAAATCTTTCTAATTTTAAGATTATGAATAGCAATGTTTACATCACTCACAAGACTTTTTAGGAATTCATTAAAATTTGTAAATGGTGTGACATAACTGAGTAAAAAGTGCCATCTGAATAAACGATGATCTTAATATCAGCTTTTGGCATTCACATAGTTAGTTTAAGTTTCCTTCACAAATAGGAACTGGTGCTTATTTCCTATTCTTTCTGTATCAGATAAGGCATTGGAAAAGTATTGTAAACACTGGGGACATAGATAAGAAAATTTTTGTATCTAACTTTTAGGTTACTAATCTTTTCTAAGTGGGCCAGATGTACAGCTGCAGCAATCCATGTAAGAGTTGACTATATTATTGCTATACACTGTATTATTGCTATACACTATATTATTGCTATATACTAGCTGAATTATGCAGAAAAAGATGAAGATATGATGATTAGGGCAAGCAAACTATCTGGTGCAACATGTTTACATGTGGGGTATTTTTGTGCATACATTCCTGGGGGAAATATATTGGAACTTACTGGTACAGGACCTTAACTATTCTTTTTTTGCTTTTAATAATCAACATTTTGGCATGTATAGGCTACTGATAAGGATGCCCCAAATGGTCAGAGTCGTACATGGAAAATAGCTAATGCGAAACCTGTAATTAATAAAAAAAAGCCTATATTAAAAGTTTCAACCAGCTAGTTTTGTTATATTTTGTGATTAATGGTATAACTGTATTGTTGTTCTCTGTATGTCATTATTTTATTAGAAACACAGGTAAACAGAACCAGATACTTCTTGAGCTAAATGAAACCAAGTTGCTTCTCCAGATATGTTTTGCTAAGTACAGTTCTGGAAAAAGTAAGAGTTCAGGTTGATGAGGAGCAGTTCTACTGAAAAATTTAAGCTATCTGTGAAAATACACAGTATAGCCTCAGAAAACCTTGACAGTGTTTGAAGTAATAAAATTGTTTGCAGTGTGATCAGCTACTCTTTTTGATTCTGTGCTCACGTCTTTCCATGTTGCTATGTGTAACCACATTTCAGTGGTATCCAACCCTCTCTCATCAATTTTCCCTCCTAATGGGAATAACAACTTCTCTCCGAGTTTTGGTTGGTTGGCAGGTCAGATAGAACAATGCTTTTCAGCAGCTGCATTATATTTGTAGTATTGATAATAAATGATAAATCAAGGAGGAAGGATCTGGAAAATATAGAAAGTTCACTTTTGGTTCTCAGAACAGGCTACCAGGTGAATGAAGGAAGTTTTCAGAGGGAATATTATTTAACAGGCCAAAATAAGTTGAAGTTTCTGTTGGAAGGTATGTCAAATAATTCCTGTAATACTGTGCTCTTACTACAAATAATATTTGCTTCATTTGCTTTGGTATGTGATTTTTATGATGAAGAGGTAGTAGTCTTGCTTATTTCCTGTGTTCACCTTATCAACTCTGTTTTATCCATTTCACAGAGCAATAATCCTTTCCTCCTTTAGCTTGATGGATGTAAAGTCTGCTCTTACAGAAGCTGTCAAGATTGAATAGAAAGCAAGAGGAGTCCTGTAAACCCTTAGAAAGATTCCCATCTTTGAATATACAAAGTCAAAAAAGGTGCACAACATAAAAATTGTAAATAGTTATAGTAATTATAGTTAGTGGGAATTCCGAGCAGAGAGCTTTAGCAATGCTCACAATTTTGCAAACATAAGTACAGCAAAAAGTCAAAACGAACATTGAAAAGAAGTGCTTCTACATATGTGAATAGAAAAACAAGCAAAACCAACTCCGAAATGGAGAGGTCATCCACATTGCCGGTGTACAGATAACAAGTGTTCTGTCACTGCTTGCCTGTCTAAAATCCCTAGACAAACTGGAACAGGATTAGTGGAATCACAAGTAGTTATCCTTCACTAATCCATTCCAGCCAAGATCTGTCTTGCTTGCTCCTGTTCTCATACACAACTGCCTATGAAATACTGTGGGCTAAGGCCTCTTAAGGCCACTAAACCCACAGTGGTGGGCGGTGCCAGTTTGCAACTGCCAGGCCTCTTCTGCTTAGAAGGGCCTTCCTATGACATTGGTTTATTTGCTGGTTGCTATTGATCTTGTCCTTGACTCCTGGCTCTTGGTTTTATGAGTGCTTATTTGGTATTGCTGATGTTGCTATTTTTCATATTTTAATGAACTGAAAAACAGTTTAGATAGCAAGGTCTAACTTTAAGATTACCAATTGTGAAGATAATTTTTAAATTGTAGTTTCCTGGCAGGAGACTACTATGGGGAGCTAAAAAGGGGAGAGGGGTTCACTATGAAATGAAATTTCAATACACACAAAGATTGATTTGCTTCTATTTCTGGGAGGACTGTAGCATGCTGCTGACTCATGTTCAGCTTGTGGAGCTATGACTTATGCATATCCATTGTTAAGTTTAGTTACCTATAAAGCACGTAATGGATCAGCCCCACAGACTCTGCTAAAGGGTGGGAGTTGTGAAGGTAAACCTCAGGTAGTTCTTGTGCTTTGAGGAAGCTAACTCTGAAAGCTGAATCAGAAACAATACTCCACTTTTCCGTATGAACAATGAGATCACGTAACTAATTCATTGTGTTGGGTATTCAGCAAGTACAGAAATGTAACTGAAGCCTGGGCTGCCATGCAGCAACAAACTGTGGCTGGCATATAAGTCTTAAAAAAAGAAAAACAAAACCTAAAAAAATTAAATAAATTAAAAATTTTGCCTGATTAAGTATTGCTACAGTGCCTTTTTGTTTTTCTCAGGTAGGTTGTTAAGTTGTATGTCATTTGGTGACTTCTGTTTCAAATACAAATTATATTACATTGTACTGTGTACTACTGAGGAAAGTAGGAAAAATACCTGATTTAACTGGCAGCTACAGGTCAATACTCTTTCTCAAGAGTCGAATCTGAAAGTATATTCCACAAGAGGGCTCTCTCTACACGTGAAATTAAAATATGACTTCCAGCAGTACCAGATATTCTTTCAGTCTTTCAGGTTAAAGACGGGGGTTTTGGTTTATGTAACAAACATATTGTACTGCATCAATATACTGGATATGACCCCATTTGGAACATATAATTAGTTTTGTTACTTCACTTTCAGAAGTATGCTGGTCCAGCTGAGCTCTTTTTAAACTGTGAACATGAACATTTTGGGTAACTCCTAATTAAACATTTCACCCAGACTCATATACTCCTTAGGTCATCAGGAATCAGACTACGCCAAAATGGTTATTGTATAGGTTCTGCCAATATCAGTAACGTATTTTTGGTTGGTGTTAATGTTTACATATGCTGGCCTTTCTTATGTGGAGATCACACTGTGATCTTCCTACCTGTGAGTCTAAAACTGTATTTTAGTAAAATAGACCTATGATGAACAACACTGTTTTAATCTCTATCAGTATCCAAACAGCAGCTGTTCCTTTTTTCACTTGAACACTGTTTAAAAACTTGTAAATAGGAAACCTTAAGAACAGGTAACCATTCTTCCTACATAATTACACTGTGCTATTAGCAGCAGCATTTCAAGAAACCAGGTTGCATTCTCCCGTACTGAAGAGAAATAGGGCTACATTTCTAAATGTAGACACAGGAAGTGCAGGGAGGTGCTTTTGAAAATCCTCGTGGATTTAAACTCCTAGTACAGGCAAGGTTTAGCCCTGCTTCTCTCATGTAGTAACCAGCCTTTCTTTAAGAGAATTATGTCCAACACATAACTAATTTAGATCTTGGAATATCTGCCTGGAGTGCCATATTGCTCCCCTTGCCCAAGGCAAAGCCTGAACTGCCTGCCAGCTCTAGTTTAGCCCCTTGGCCTGTGTTCTCTCTCCCTTTGCCATTGTCTTTATAGGTTCTGGGCATTAATTTCTCTTCACTCTGAGCCATGTTTTACCCTTATGTTGCCTTTGGTTCCAACCTTGTTATTCACAGACCTCTTTTCTTCCAACTGATAGTTTTCAAATATTTTTCTCTTGTTCTCTGGAAACTCTAGTTGCTATAGAGACACCTGATGATTATAGAGACAGTGACTACCTTTGTTAGAACCTCAGTTGCTATAGCAATGACTGTTGGCTTTGGGTTCAATGAAATCTGCTACAC